CTTACTGTCAATATTAATAAATTGTTATGGAAGAAGATTTATTTAATATACCTTTGTCAGACGTAAAGCGTGAACTTCGTCGAGGTATCATTGAGTGTCAGAAACGAAGCCTAACTCAGAGCGCCAAGTGGTTAGCTGAAATGAGCCATGGTCTTGGGGACGTTGATTGCGAGGGAGCTGGTACAAGCAGTTGCAGTCAAAATGTGATGTCGGAGTCTGGAGAATCTTGCCAGTTTTTGGAAGGAATCGCGCTGACTGAATATGATAATTATTTTCTTGCCAAAAGTTACTTTGATGTTCGTGAATATGATCGAGCGGCATACTTTGTGCGTAATTGCGAATCTTCCGTACCACGTTTTCTTCATTTGTATGCAACGTATATGTCAAGGGAAAAGCGACGCTTGGATTCTACAACGGATCGTTCGAATTTAAATGATACAGGTCACGTGCGTGAATTGACTGAATTGCTGGCGATCCTCCGTTCTCAATATTCGCATGGACTACTGGATGGCTATGGAATATACCTATATGGAGTTGTATTAAAGGCCGTAAATCTCAATAAAGGAGCAATACAAATGTTCATACATGCGATCCGATTGGCACCAATGTTATGGGCCGCTTATGTTGAATTGGCTCCGCTCATAATGGAAAAGGATAAAATGTTACCACTAAATTTTGGTGGTCATTGGATGCGACATTTTTTTGTTGCGCATAGCTACATTGAGATGTATCTGAATGATGAAGGCCTAAAGGCGTACGAAGACCTTCAACATGCAGGATTTCGTAAATGCGTGTATGTGACTTCGCAAATGGCTTTGGCTTATCACAACAAAAGAGGTAAATCCCAGTAGATAATTTCAGGAGTTGAAAGCCCTTCTGAAAGGCATTCCTGAGAGTCAAGAAGCCTTCCACTCTACATTCCTTTCTCCTTTATTTTTTGTATGGAGTGGCACAAATTGAAGGGCTTCTTCTTTTGCTACCCATGGATGGCCTTCCAGAAGGGCTTTTATATGACATACTTCAGAAGGGCTTTTGGGGGAGTTCTTTTAAAGTTGCTTCTTTCAATTTATAAAAATCATACACCTTCGAAGTATTTTTGCTTGCGGTTTATATCAAACATGTGTTATTGCAGCTTAAAATGTTTATTGAAGTTCATTTGTAATGCTAAATAATGAGGCGTATTCTTGTTTTCGTACGAATCGAAAATTTGAAATTTTTTTATAGTAAAAGATAGAAAAATTTCATGATTTTCGATTCGTACGAAAACAAGAATGTACCCCAATATAAATTTATGCATTCGCGTAAAATGTAAGGCATGCAAGGAAGCATTTTTTTCAGCCCTTCTTGGATATGCCTCTTAGAATGGCTTTACTTAAGAAGGCCTACCTAAATTATCTTCTGGGATGATGTCAATATATAAAATTTCAATATTAATAGGACTGAATTAAATATACATACATAAACATTACAACTTTTACAGATGTCGATAGAGCTATTGAAATTTTTCAAACGCTACAAGAAGTTGATCCCTATCGCTTAGAGAACATAGACACGTACTCGAATTTGTTATTTGTAAAGGAGCTGAAGACTGAGATGGCGCAATTGGCTCATAAGGCAGTCAGCATTAATAAATATTGTCCAGAGACATGCTGTGTAGTTGGTAAAGAACTAAATTGAAAGTGTGTTGTTCTTAGTTTTTAATTTATATTTATTTTAGGTAATTACTACAGCATACGCTCAGACCATCAAATGGCCATAGTTTATTTTCAACGAGCTTTAAAATTAAATCCAAAATATTTATCGGCGTGGACATTGATGGGCCATGAATTTATGGAGTTAAAAAATACAAATGCTGCAATACAAAGTTATCGTAAGGCAGTCGGTAAGTTTTAGGATAATTGTTTGAAGAGTTCTATCCATAACTAATCTTTCGAAATCTAGAAGTAAATAAACGGGACTACCGCGCCTGGTATGGCTTAGGTCAATCGTATGAAATACTTAAAATGCATTATTATAGCTTATACTACTTCAAAATTGCGCATCAACTGCGTCCGTATGACAGCCGGATGTTGGTTGCGTTAGGAGAAACGTATGAAAAATTGGAAAAGTTCGATAATGCTATTAAGTGTTATTGGAAAGCCTGCGATGTCGGGGATATTGAAGCTGTTTCTATGTGCAAATTAGCTGGCTTATATGAAAAGAGGGGAGAATACGAGGACGCTGTTCAGTGTTACATAATGTATTGCGATGACGAGCGGGCTGCGACGGACAAACAAAGTTTATACCATGGATTTATGACGTTAGCAAATTACTATGAGAGCAAAGGACAGTTTGATAAAGCATCACACTATGCTTACAAATGTCTTGAATCAGACGAGGTAGTTATTTAATAACGAATGCGCCTTTATTTTATAATCTATTCGTAACATTTTGCTATTTTATTAAAATGCTTAGCGGAAATCCGAGGCCAAAGCTCTACTTAAAACCATTGAAAATAAACGTAGTGGGAAAGTCGCAACTAGTGAGGGTGAAGCTAACAGTTCCACGAATGCGAACGTAATAGCAGCGGACACCTCATCAGACGATGATATGGAAATGGAATTGAGTGATTATAAGTATCTGTGTAGTGACTATGTGTTATCCTGCCAATCCGATTTCAAAGAGTCAAAAAAAACGCCCGCAGCTACTGGCTATAGCACTACAAATTCACATTTGATATCAACAGCGGCGGATATGAGTTTGAATGAAAGTGAGATGGCTGCTTCCAGCAGCACAAATGAGATCTGTCCAAGTACTAGTACGGCTGCGACGTTTGCTATAGGGCAGCAAACAGAAAAACCCATCGAAGCGAGGGATTCAGAAAGCAACGACGACGAGCAGAATTCAATGGAAATTTCGTCTATTTCTATAGATTGAACGTAAGAAGTATAATATGCTGAGTAAACGTTTTTGCACAAGTCAGCATAATTTGGGCCATCATCTCATTCCTAAACCTGTAATACATTTAGGATAAATTTTTTGCTAGATAAAGGATCATTTTCATATTTCAACCTGCTTACAAAGTTAGGTTAGCTTGTAATTTTAAAGATATGCTTTTAGGTTATTATGTATGATCTTTGTTCAATAAGTTAGCTTTGATCGGATTTTGTAAGAGTATGTCGAAAATATATGTATGAGGAGTACAAATATGGCATTAATTTTAATTAAAGATTGTTACTATAAATCGAGTTGGGGACCGCAAGCGAATTTGGTATTTCTAATACATAATTGATTTATTTCGTGATTTCCGCGTATGTTCTTTTGTGTTCTTATAAATATTCTTTATTTGTATACGTATTTATAAAAAAACGCTATTCTAATTTTCAAATATTTTAACTTAATTAAATTCAGTTTGATTTCACATCTTATTTAGAAATTTTCAATGCGACATACTATAGAAAAATACGTTTCCGGGGAAATTATCTAATAACAAGACAGCACTTAAAGAAATATCCCAGAAGATAATTTAGGTAGGCCTTCTTAAGTGAAGCTATCCTAAGCTCCAAAAGGCCTTCTGAAGTACGGCCTATAAAAGCCCTTCTGGAAGGCCTTCTGTGGGTAGCGAAAGGGGAAGCCCTTCAATTCGTGCCACTCCATACAAAAATGAATGTAGAGTGGAAGGCCTCTTGATTCTCAGGAAGGCTTTTCGGAAGTGCTTTCAACTCCTGAAATTATCTACTGGGATGTTTCCAAGGAAAGTTATAAGACGCTATATTAAGCGAAATTCACGCGCCGATGCGACTATTGAAACGTACTTTTAACATTCACTTATTAATGATAATGCTCTACTCTCGAAACTTATAAAAATCGAATCACAGTTCAATTGGCCACCTTTGTACCTACACTTTTATATATAAAGTGCTTTGAACTGAATGTGTTTTTTAAGCTTATTGTGTACGTTTAACACGTAGAACCAAGCTCAAGAAAAAAAGCACTTTAAAAAATATGATCCATATCAGCAAAACGAATAAGTCATGGCCATACAAATCACCCAGCATGTCTAACTCCTTCAGCAGTTTAGTTGGTGACTTAAAATAACAAAATTCTGTATGACATTTTAAATCAGGGCGATCGTAGCCATATATAGCTTGCATCAGAGCCTCCATGGTGTAACGGTAGAAGGATATATCGCAAAGCGGTCGAAAAAAAAGAAGAAAGCTCATGAATGCGTATGAAAAATCCTGAAAATATCATAAATGGTATCGCTACTCCAGGTACCAACAAAATTGCCATCTGAAATGTAATTTTCAATGTAAATTAGAATTTTTTTAAATTCGCTAACACGTGCAGATAATTTACCTGTATATCAAATGTGGAACCAAAAGCTAGTCCCATCAAATGCCCAACAATGGCCAAAATTAAACTGATTCCCCAGCACATAGCAAATCGTGCCATATCGTCCGGCTGGCTGGTCATGAAGTTATAGCATTAGCTGATATTTAATTATAGATTTAGTCCGATATACCGT